GTTTTTTACCTCATTTTGAGCCACTTTTTTATTTTCTAGCTAATCCTCTGTTTAGTGTACATTTTAAATTCACTGTTACAAAGTTGTAAATTGGCTTATTTGTAGTTTCTGGTCGTGTACGTTCATCTTCTTTGATCTTTTTTTTTTTTGAGAAAAGTTACATCTTTCTTTTTCTTAGATACACTTACCAGAAATTTGTCTGTTTTAATGGCTTTTTCAAAGCTTGATTTTACTGATCAGCTTGTGGCTTTGTTCATGATGATGTTTTTCTAATTTCATTTACATCTTGCTTTCATCTTTAATAACTTCCTTCTGCTTATTTTGGGTCTGCTTTATTTTTCTAGCATTTCAAATTGTATGTGACATTCCCTTTTATTCAGGCTTCCTTCTTTATGAATACATTTGATAAACATTTAAGGCTAGAAGTTCCCTTTGAGTCCCACCTTGGGTAGACATCCTATTCCTTTTGCTATATAGTGTTCTCATTGTCATTCATTAAAAAATAAATTGTTTTGATCTCATCTTCAGTTTCAGAGTTAATAGAAATGAGTTTGAAGATTTCCAGGTGGATAGACTTATTTCCTTGTGTCTGTTGGATTAATTTCTTATTTTGAGGTATTGTGGAAAGTGAATGTGGTTTGGTTTTGTTCTGTGGAATTTGAGGTTCTGCTGATTTGTAGATTTGTCCGTTTCTCCTTGTTTTTAATATTTTTTGAAGCATATGTCAGGATCATATCAATTATAGTTTTATACGCACATGACATAATTTCTTTTTGTCCTCTTATAATGCTTTTTGTTTGTTTGAATTCTTTTCAGTCTGCTAGTATTGTGTTTGCTTTCTGTTAACATTTGCTTAATAAAGTGGAGTAACATTGTCCAGGCATTTGTTTTGCTTACCCAAATTCAACTATATAAATGTGGCAAAGCATGGTGACAGTGACTACTCACCGATTTAGTCAGTGAATATATATTGGGTTGGCCAAAAAGTTCGTTCGGGTTCTTGTAAGATGTTACAGAAACCTGAATGAACTTTTTGGCCAACCCAGTAATTGTGAGCGAGCTTAGGGATGGTAGATCACTGTTTGGAGGGGCACCTCTTATAATGTAAGCCCTTGATAAATGCAGTATTGGTCTTGAAACATAAGGCTTGACTTTTACTATATCATGTTTCCTAAATGTAAGTCAACTGTTTTGTCAGTCTCCAGTGAGGTGCTTAAGATTTTGATTTATTCATTTTTGACTGAATGCCGTTTTCATCTTAAAGAATCCAACTCCCCTTTATGATGGGACTCTATTGTGGGTGTTTTACCGTTTATTTACCTTCAGTCTACTTGTATTATCTTGTTTTAGATGTATCTTTTTATATAAGCATATAGCTGAATTTTCTCTTCAGTCTGGAAGAGAAATTTGACGTGTCTGTGATTACTGATATGTTTGCATTCATTCCTGTCATTTTTTGTTTTGTATTTACTATACTTTTTTTCCTCTTTGTTTTTGTTTTTTTGTTTTCCAGTACGCGGGCCTGTCACTCCTGTGGCCTCTCCCGTTGCGGAGCACAGGCTCTCGACGCGCAGGCTCAGCGGCCATGGCTCACTGGCCCAGCCGCTCCGCGGCATGTGGGATCTTCCCAGACCGGGGCACGAACCCGTGTCCCCTGCATCGGCAGGCGGACTCTAAACCACTGCGCCACCAGGGAAGCCCTCCTCTTTGTTTTTGAACTGATTTTTTTCCCCCTAGTTGTTTGAAGGTCATATGTTCATTTTCTCTTTTTTTGGAGTTGCCTGTAAATTTTTTTAAAATTTATTTATTTAAATTTATTTTTGGCTGTGCTGGATCTTCGTAGCTGCACGGGCTTTCTCTAGTGGCAGCGAGCGGGGGCTACTCTTCATTGTGGTGTGCGGCCTTCTCATTGTGGTGACTTGTTGCACAGCATGTGCTCTAGGCACGTGGGCTTCAGTAGTTGTGGCACACGGGCTCAGTAGTTGTGGCGCACGGGCTTAGTTGCTCTGCAGCATGTGGGATCTTCCTGGACCAGGGCTCGAACCCATGTGCCCTGCATTGGCAGGTGGATTCTTAACTACTGCGCCACCAGGGAACCCCAACCTGTAAATTTTTAACGCATTTAAACCATCACTTCTTTATTCTTGTTTAGAAATAATCAGAATCTTTATCTTCCGTTCCCCAATGAGACAGAGCTGCTGCTTGCTTTGACTTCCCTCTCCTTTCTCTTCCCTCTTCGACTTCCTATGTTGAAATCATGTAAGTATTTTAGTTGCAGATTGCTTATTTTCCTAAAAGTCAGCGTGTATTGCTTCCTGTGCTTATCATTGTTTATATAGCTCATATCTTCTTGGGTGCTTTAAAAAATTATATTGGAGTGCATCTACTAATTATGTCAGAGAAGGTCTTTGAATAGTAAATGTTGAGCTCTTTCATGTGTAGAAATGTCTTTCTCTTGCACTCCCATTTGAAAGCTGATTTGGCTGGATATGAGTTTCAAATTGTTTTCCTTATAACTTTGCCAGTGCGCTATTGTCTTCTAGCATCTGTGTTACTGATGAAAAGTCTAATTTTACCTTTATGTGATTTATGTATCTTTGTAGGAATTCACTTTTTTCCTTTGGGAGTTTTTAGGGATTTCCTGAAATTTCAATAGGATGTGACTATACATCTCCCCTTTCTACACTTATTAATTTTATTTCAAGCCAATTATTCCTGTCTTCCCCTATCTCCCCCAGAAAATTTCTAGAACTCATATAACACAGATGTTGGACTTTCTGGTTCTGTGTTCTATATATCTACCTTTCTTTCATACTCAAGAGGCATTTTGGGAGAGTTTCTTAGTTTTATTTTCCATTTGTTTTTTCTGTGCCCATTTTGTTATTAAATGTATCTGTGGAGCTTTATTTTGGAAATAAATATTTCTCCTTTTTTTCTATTATAAAAGTGTGTTTATTGGATACAATTTACATACAATAAAATATATCCATTTAAAGTGTATAGTTCCATACATTTTGACAGATATATACACCCATGAAGCTCCCCTCTTGCCCCCAACAATTAAGGTTTGGGTTATTACAGAAAGTTTTCTCCTGCCCCTGTATAGTCCTTCCCTCTCTCACTCCCCCAGCCAGTGATCTGCTATCAGATACAGAAATGATTAGCTTGCATTTTCTAGAGTTTCATATAATGGACTCATATAGTATGTAGCCTTTTGTGCCAAGCTTTTTTCACTCAGCCTGTTTTTGAGAGTCACCTATGTTAAGTATATTGGTGTGTCCCCCGCCCTGCGCCCCACCCCCTGCCCCGCTCTTTTTGGTTTTGAAAGCTTGTCCCACAACCCCCAACTAGGAAATTAACATTGATACAGCTCACAGACCTTGTTTAGATTTAACCAGTTTTACATAAACTCTTGTATGTGTGTATTTAGTTCTATATAATTTTGTCACATGTGTAGATTCTTAACAGCCACAACCACAGCTGGCAATCATTTCTTAATTTCTAATTTTTCTTTATGGTAGCTTATTCATTTTTAAAATTAATTTTTTTATTGAAGTATAGTTGATTTACAATAGCTTATTCATTTTACATTTAAATATCCTCCTTACCTTGGAGGATATTTATGATTCTTTTAAAGCCTCCTCTTTGTTCCTGCAACTCTTTCTTTAGATGTTAACTTCTTGGTTTTGTGGTGTTGATTTTTCCCTTTTGGTGATTCTGGTTTATAAAGTGATCATCTCTGGTTTAAGGATTGCTATTCTCCTGTCAGTGGCTGCAGTGTCTGTTTACCAGTCTGTCAGAATGGATTGTAGGGGAGAGATGGGAAATACGGCCAGATGTGGGGGCTCCCCACTTCTTCTGGGTAACAGCAGCTACGTGGATGTGTACTGATGCTTGGGCTCAAGTGCCTGTGCCCAGTGAAGACTTTGCCTCTTTGGAGGAGGGGGAGGGGAGTGTCTGGCCTGTCCAGTTGTGCCAAGTGTATTTCCCCACCATATCACTATGACTGCACCAGAGCCTGCTTCTGTTTCCCCATGGCAGCTACCCCATCGACAGCTTGGATGGAGCACCCATCTGCTCCCCGCACCTTCATAGCTGCTCCCAATTTTTATAGCATTTCTCTTTTCAGGGTTCTGGACAGTTATTGCCTCTATCAACCTCATTCTGCTGATGGTATCACTTCTTGTTTCTCAGAATTATTTTAGAAAATCAGTAAGTTTATATCTTTAGTCATTTCTAGGATTTAAGGTGGGAGGAGAAGGCATGTATAGCTAATGCAGTTTATCTTGATCCAGTCTCCTTAAGCCATTTTTTGGGATGGATTTTTTTTTTTTTAGCTCCTCCGCATAGTATGCGGGATCCTAGTTCCCCTACCAGGGATCAAATCTGCGTCCCCTGCATTGGAAGCGCAGGAGTCTTAACCACTGGACCGCCAGGGAAGTCCTGGGATGGATTTTTTGGGATGGATTTTTGGGGAACGGGTATTAACTTTGAAACACCTGTTCCACTGATGGCCATTGAAACCTGATGGATTGGTTGATATCAGGGTTTGAGAGAAATTGACCACTGGAGCTTATATGTTACATAGGGTTGGGAATTTCCTCTAGCCCTAGTTTGAGTACTAAACCAAAGCTCTGAAAAGTCTCAACATTTCTGTAAGGCAAGGGCAAGGATGAAGATTTTCATTCTCAATCTTTTTTTTCAGAGTTGAGGTTAATGGGTAGTCATTTTGCTGTTTTTTAATATTTCTCAGTGCAGTTTGGGCTTGTCTAAGAGGATTGTGTTGGCTTAACATTGTGATATTTTTCTTCTTGATCTTTGTATTCTTTTTTTAAGATTTGTTTCCAGATTAGACAGAATCATATTTCTTCTCCCAAAACCCTTTTTGTGTATATAGTTCTTGGAAACCTCAAGGTATGAAATAAATTGTTAATCTAATAAGTGTAAATTTAGTTTTCAGAAAAAAAGCTGTTCTCACTTTTTTTTCCTTCCTCATTTAGTTTTTCCTTGGTTTGGCTTGGATATTGGTGGGACCCTGGTCAAGCTGGTTTATTTTGAACCCAAAGACATCACTGCTGAAGAAGAAGAGGAAGAAGTGGAAAGTCTTAAAAGCATTCGAAAGTACCTGACCTCCAATGTGGCTTATGGGTCCACGGGTATTCGGGACGTGCACCTGGAGCTGAAGGATCTGACTCTGTGTGGACGCAAAGGCAATCTGCACTTTATACGCTTTCCCACTCATGACATGCCTGCTTTTATTCAAATGGGCAGAGATAAAAACTTCTCGAGTCTCCACACTGTCTTTTGTGCCACTGGAGGTGGAGCGTACAAATTTGAGCAGGATTTTCTCACAGTATGCATTTTTTAGCTTATATACAATTTATGGTAATCTGATTGTTAAAAATAATACCAATAGCAAGTGGTGGAATCATTTCCATCTCTAATGGAACTTGAATTTTCTTGAGTCAAGTTAAGATTAAATATCAATTAGTGATAGGAGTTGCCATCTAGAGATTGTTGTATAGTTTACTTTTTGCCCAATTCAGATGAGTTGATGAGAATCAGAAGCACTAACAGCATAGCATTTTGTTGTTCTTTTAGTATGAAAAAATAGTAAAGCTGTAATAAGCACAGGAAGGAACTACCAGTGAGGAACAATATCATTGTCTTGAACAATGTGATTGAAAAATAATTTAAAAAATTAATGTCATTTCATGTTATAAAATTGTTTCCAACGTTATCTACCACATAATTTTTCTTATCCCCCTCATTTGTTTCTTGGCAATTTTACTATTTAGAAATATGAGGAACTCTGGTCCAAAGCAGTGTTTTTCAGGCCTCAGGGTTAGTCACAGATGGTTGACAGCAGAGTCTGCTCTCCCCAAATGCCTTTTGATGTGTCCTGAGCTGCACACTTGTTAACAGGAGTCTGGATAGTAGGCGGAGTGCCAGTGGGCCCTTGATTTTGTTTTCATTCAGTGAACACTGTGTGTAAGGCCTTGAGGCTAGGTCATTTGAGGGTAGATGTGGGGGTAGATGGGAGAATTGATAGGCGAATTGGTCAAGGCTCTGACCTTCAGAGTGCAGTGTAGATTTAAAATATCTTCAGTGACCATGTTTTTAATGCCACCAATGAGAATGTTATTACAGAGATTCTGCCTTTGCCTATGTTGTTTTTCATTTTCTCCCTGCCCCCAGCCTTGCGTGTCATTGTATGATTTGTGACTTTGTCTTTCTTTGTCCTCTATCTTCTTTCTCCCATAACTGACCATAACCATAATATAGAATTGACATGAATTTTAAAACTGGTTTTGCATTCTTTGCTTGAATTTTCCTTGGTTGTTGGTTTTCAGTGGTTTCTTTTCTACCTGTGAGTAAACGGGAGGGTAGGAGGAGAGGAGGTCCCCCTCCTTTGCGGTCACAGTGGACTCTGGATTATAACTGATAGGTAGAGGAGAAAACCTCTCGATTTCTGGGACCCTGTAGAGATGCCTTTGGAACATGTTTGAATACCATTTGGGCTGTTACTGGAGGTTGTGTGCTGTGTGCTAATCCAAGGAGAGGTGCAGAGTAGATTTTAGACTTTAGGGATTGGCTCTTAGGCTGTTGGGATTTCTCATCTGTATGCACCAGTCCTTGAAAACTGTGGGAAAATGAAATGCCTAACAAATCCTGTTTGTGCATCTGGAGTAACTATTATCTAATAAACCACAGTGAAGTATTTTTAAAAATATGGAGTTTACCCTGTTTCTTTTTTAATGTGAATCAGATTTCCTCACATTGTATCGAGTTTGCTTGTGGGTGCAACACATACATTATGAGTAACTTGAGTTAGTGAAATAACTTACGTATTTGGTCATCTGACTGTCAATTAGGCTGGGATTCATTAGGATTAATAGCACAGCAGGGTACTTCAGGTAACATGAATTATGGGAAAGATAAAAGGAGGTATTGGTTTGACATACAATGGCAGAAAACTACTTTTATTCCAGTAGGCTACCAGTGTAAAATGATTTTGCTTTGACATGAAGATGCTGGCACTTGAGATTCAAGTGTCAGGAAATCAGAATTGAATTCATTGTGGCAGGGAGGGCATGGGCAGATAAAATAAGGACAGTGATGAACGTTTTCAAGGGCTTGGGTTTCCTCAGAGGAGTAATTTAATATTTGTAATTAGGGATTACTTAAGGATTAAGATGAAGTTACCTATTAACTTCCATCTCCTTTGGATCAAAGTAAATTGAGTATAATGTAATCAAATGAGAGTTGAATTAAAGGGGGAGGACTTGCAGGGCTAAACTTGGTTTTGAACAGAAATAGGTGCTTTAGGGGGTTGAGGCATCTTTGTGTTTGTCACATATATTGAGTAGGTAGATAATGCTGGTAGCATTCAAATGGGTTAGAAGTTCATAGAGTAAAAAGTGAAAGTTGTTTTATATCATCTCTGCAGAGTTACCACAGTTAAAAGTTTATGTATCTTTTTAGTTTTTCTGTGCATGACTGTGTATGACACATACACGTGCATATAAATATGGTTTTAAAATAAGGCAAATTGGATCATGTTGTATAAAATATTTCTCAGCTTGTTTTGTATTTTTTTTGACTAAAAACATGTCTTGGAGTTCTTCCCACTTCAATTCTTAATTGAATAAAGATCCTCTTCATTCTCGGGACTTCCCTGGCGGTCCAGTGGTGAAGACTGCACTTCCACTGTAGGGGGCATGGGTTCGATCCCTGGTCGGGGAAGTAACATCCTGCATGCTTTGCGGCGCGGCCAAAAAAAAAACAAAAAGTATATATAGATATATATGTATGTTTGTATAAAGATCCTCTTCATTCTTAATTGCTATACAGTGTTCCATAATATGAATAATAATTTAATTATCCCTTTATTAATTATTTAAATGAAATTAAGTTGATAACAGTGTTTTAAATTTTGATTCTGCTAAACTCCCCCCATCCCTTGAGGCTGTAATCAGTTTAAATAGTGAAGTATTTTACTTTCTAATTGGATACTTTCAGTCCTTTGGCTGCAGATTATTAATAATAAAGTGTGGCCTACTTTGATACTGCTCTATAGCCTTGAAGATGGTCTTTGGAAGGTAGATGTTGGATTCCTTGTGGCTCCTGCCATGTGTTTCCAGCTCCTTGCATCATTTAGACTTCTTAGAGTCTGCTTTCTGATGGGGCTGTGCCTTCAGCTGTGCTCCTGCCTCATGGTCCCCGTAAGCAGACATCTTGTTTTCTGCTTGGGTTTTGGCACATTTCTCCAGCTGCTGCGGTGGTTTGAATGTATTGGGTCTGTGGGAGCAGAATTCTGTCTTGTCAGTCCATCCCTGTATTTGTTGTCTCCAGATCTGTTTTGTAAAGCAAGCACAAATAGTACACATCCATGAGCACTTTTATGGTTTGTCTTATGTAGAGGGGAATGCCTTATTAAACAGAGTTTTTATTTCTGCTTGGCTTGTTAAAAAAATCTGAATACATTTTTATTTCATTACAGATAGGTGATCTTCAGCTTTGCAAACTTGATGAACTAGATTGCTTAATAAAAGGAATTTTATACATTGACTCAGTTGGATTCAATGGACGGTCACAGTGCTATTACTTTGAAAACCCTGCTGATTCCGAAAAATGTCAGAAGTTACCATTTGATTTGAGAAATCCATACCCTCTGCTCCTGGTGAACATTGGCTCTGGGGTTAGCATCTTAGCAGTATATTCCAAAGATAATTATAAGCGGGTCACAGGTACCAGGTATGTCTTTTATATAAAGGTCATTGTTTATTCTTGATATCATAATGGGTTAAAACTGAGTTTTCAGGTACTGCATGTAAGAACATCTTCAAGAACCTGTTAAAATTATGTGAAAGGTATGTTTCTCTGGGGTTGTGCAAGCAAATATTGTTTCTCTTTGGAAATTCTGATTTCATGATCTACTTTTCTTTAATCTCTATTGCTGAAGATTTCACTACCATAGTTTCATAAAACATCTCATCAGCAGACTCATTGAGCCCAAGGTCCCTGCCCTCAGATAGTGTTATGATGTGCATATACCATAAAGTAACCAAAGCTACTAGGTAGCATTTATAAGGAGAAGGCAAGGCAAGATCCCAGCTTTGAACTAGTTTAGATTTTACATGTATCCACACATACACATGGCCAGGGGATGTCGTGAGATCTAGAAGTTGAGGTACTGAGCAGTAGAAAAATGTTTGGGGGAGGGTAGTCTGAAAAGGGAGGATTAGGTGGCAGATGAGAATGAATACCTTTTGGTTTAAGGATCAGCGATCACTTGAGGAAAAATAGGAGCTGGGGATTGGGATAAACAAGTTTTTGAACAGGTGTCAGTTAAAGAATGAGAGGAGTAATTTTGGGAGAGAAAACACATTCATGGAGGAGTTCTAGTCGGGTAAGGGGGGCTGATGACCCAGGGTGACAAGATGCTTGGATGAGGATGACTCGGGGCTTGCACTTGGAGAGAGAAAGGGAAGAGGTACCACCATGGCCCTGGTGGGCTGATCTGCACCTGAGGCTCCTAGCATTCAGCAGGTGCCCAGACTGCATTGGGGACATGGGTAAAGAAGCGGGCCCTGTGTTTTGCTGCTTTGTTTGCTTGGCTTATGTGAATACGGTATCTTCAAGGCGTCCATTAGACACTTTATTTTTATCTTTTCACAGACTTGTTTCCTACTTAGTGGCATCTGTATGATTGGGATGGGGCAAGAGTGGATTGATACATGAATATGGTTTTGGATTCATAAATATTACCTTCCTATTCTTATTTTGAAAAGTGTTATAATACTATGTTTGTTTTTAATCACAGTCTTGGAGGAGGAACGTTTTTTGGTCTTTGCTGTCTTCTTACTGGCTGTACCACATTTGAAGAAGCTCTTGAAATGGCATCACGTGGAGATAGCACCAAAGTGGATAAACTAGTACGAGACATTTATGGAGGGGACTATGAGAGGTTTGGACTGCCAGGCTGGGCTGTGGCTTCAAGGTAAGGGAAAGGGACGTGTGTGATCTAAGAAATACAAGGTAATACAGTGGAATATTATCAGCCATAAAGAAGAACAAAATAATGCCATTTGCAGCAACATGGGTGGATGGACCTAGAGATTCTTATACTGAGTGAAGTAAGTCAGACAGAGGAGGACAAATACCATGTGATATCACTTTATATATGGAATCTTAAAAAAGGCTACAAATGAACTTATCTACAAAACCAAAATAGAGTTACAGATGTAGAAAATAAACTTATGGTTACGGTGGGGGGGTAAGGGATGGGGGAGGAAGAATTGGAAGATTGGGATTGACACATACACACTACTATATATAAAACAGATGACTAATAAGGACCTACTGTATAGCACAGGGAACTCTATTCAATACTCTGTAATGGCCTATATGGGAAAAGAATCTAAAAAAGAGTGGCCATATTTATTTGTGTAACAGATTCACTTTGCTGTACACCTGAAACTAACACAGCATTTTAAATCATTTATACCCTAATTAAAAAAAAATACAGGAATAAAATATTAAGTATTGGGTATATCTTTTACCCTTTAAATAGCTTTACATACTATGAAGTCACCTGTTTAAAGTGTGCAATTTAGTAGTTTCTAGTATATTTATAGAATTCTGCAGCCATCTTCATAATACAATTTTGAAACATTTTAATCATTCCAGAAAGAAACTTTGTATCTGTTAGCTGTCACTCTCCATTCCCCCACCCACAGTCCCTAGTAAACACTAGTCTATTTTCTGTCTCTCTATGGCATCATACAATATGTGATTTTTGTGACTGGGTTCTTTCACTCAGCATAGTATTTTCAAGGTTCATCCATGTAGTAGCATGAATCAGTACTTTGTTCCTTTTTACTACAGAATAATATTCTTTGTGTGGATATACAATGTTGTATTTATCCATTTATCAGTTGATTATCTTTTGGGTTGCTTCAACTCTTTGGTTTATTATGAATAATGGGGCTATAAACATTCATGTACAAGTCTTTGTGTGGACATATGTTTTTAATTCTCTTGGGTATATACCTAGGAGTGGAATTGCTGGGTCATATGGTAACTCAGTGTTTAATCTTTTGAGGAACTGTCAAACTGTTGTCCAAAGTGGCTGTACCATTTTACAGTTTCACCAGCAGTATATAAGAGTTTAAATTTCTCTACATCCTTGCCAATACTTGTTATTGTCTGTTTTTTGGGTTTTAATTGCCTTAATAGGTGTAAGGGGATCTCTCATTTTGATTTGCACTTCCCTGATGACTGATGGTGTTGAACATCTTTTAATATACTTATTGGCTCTTTATTTTCTTTGGAGAAATGTCTGTTCAAGTCTTTGCTCATTTTTTTAGTTGGATTCTTTGTCTTTTTATTATTGAATTGTAAGAATTCTTATATATTTTGGATACAGGTCCTTTATCAAGTATATAATTTGCAAATATTTTCTCCTAGTCTTTTGGTTGTCTTTTCACTTCTTGATGGTGGCCTTTGCAGCATAGAAGTTTTAAATTTTGATGAACTCATTCTTATCTATCTTCTCTCTCATCACTTGTGCTTTTGATGTCATGTATAAGAAATCATTGCCTAACCTAAGATCATGAAGACTGACTTCTGTATTTTTTTCTAAGCATTTTATAGTTTTAGCTCTTACATTTAGGTCTATGATCCATTTTGAGTTCATTTTTGTGTGTGGTGTGAGGTAGAGGTTCAGATTCATTCTTTTGCATGTGGCTATATAGGATATATAGTTGTCCCAGCACCATTTGTTGGATAGACTATTATTTCCCCATTGAATTCTCTCAGCCCCTTTGTTGAAAATCACTTGACCATAAATGTATGGGTTTATTTTTGGACTCTCATTTCTATTGCATTGATCTGTATTTCTATCCTTATGCCAGTACCACACTGTTTTGATTACTGTAGCTTTGTAGTACTAAGTTTTGAGACTGAGAAGAGTGAGTCCTTCAACTTAATCTTCTTTTTCAAGATTATTTTGGCTAACCTGGGTCCCTTGACGTTCCATGTGAATTTTAGGATCAGCTTGTTGATAATCTGCACTAAAAGGCAACTGGGATTTTGACAGGGATTGTGTTGAGTCTGTTAGGTCACTTTGGAAAGTATTGCCATCCTAACACTATCAGGTCTTCTGATCCAAGAAGATAGAATGTCTTTCCATTTAGATCATTGCTGTCATTTACCAATGTTTTGTAGTTTTCAGTGTACAAGTGTTATTCTCTTGTTAAATATATTCCTAAGCATTTTAGTCTCTTTGATGCTATTATAAATGGAATTGTTTTCTTACTTTCATTTTTGGATTGTTTAGAAATACAGTTGCTTTTTTGTGTATTGGGGCACATGGTTTTTAATAATAGAAAAGGCACTCATATACATGTTTGTTTACTAATTTTAGGTACTTTGTAAATGCTGTAGATTTAATTTTCTATGTTTGTAGCATCTGCTCAATGATAATCAGTTCCTTTTCTGATTGGTTGGGTTTGTGATCAGGTCATAGTTATTTATATATCAATTCTGCTGGTCAGGTACTTTGAAATACCTGATCTTCTAGGGAAATCTGAAACTCTTAAATAGTTTACTCAAGGACTCAGCTGTCAGATAAAGCAGTTTACCAGATGTGAATGTGACCATTTAGCTGAGTGGAACAGCTGTGCAGTTGGGGGCGAATTGCTAATTGAGGCATCTTCCTGAAATTTAGCCTGGTTGCAGAAGGAGCATGGTGCCTTCTATGGATCTGAATATGCAGATACGTGGCGCCAAAGCTAGATTTCAGTGGAAACCACAGGGAAAGCCATTTGCTCATTCAGAATGCTTGGGGTGTGGGAATTCCCTGGCAGTCCAGTGGTTAGGAGTCCGAGCTTCCACTGCAGGGGCCATGGGTTTGATCCCTGGCCAGGGAACTAAGATCCCACAAGCCATGCAGCGTGACCAAAAATAAAATAAAATAAAAGTTCATTAAAAAAAATACTTGAGGAAAAAACTAAAAACTAAACCAAACTAAAATTCTTTGTCCTATTATTTAAAAAAAAAAGAATGCTTGAGTTCTTGAAGTTGCATTTCTGTTTGAGCAGATGCTCTGTTATTTTGTAATAAAATGTTTGAATATTTGAACAGTCGTGCCCTGAAAGTTACTTTTGTCTTAGTAAAGTAACATTAAGTTCTATTGAGCTGTGTTGCCTTTGGTTTAGCAATGAGATATTTTTTTTCCATCATAGCTTTGGAAACATGATGAGCAAGGAGAAGCGAGAAGCTGTGAGTAAAGAGGACCTTGCCAGAGCGACTTTGATCACCATCACCAACAACATTGGCTCAATAGCAAGAATGTGTGCCCTTAATGAAGTAAGGGGACATGGATTTTTTTAGTTGCTCTGAGGAAAATACAGAACTTACTATGTGGGCCCCGCCTTGTATGCGTCTGTTTTCTCTGAACAGTGCCTAAGTGTAGTCGTAAGTGGTGGAGTTTGTTTCATTGGCAAAGTTAAAACGTTTCACCTGTAGATTAGTCTAATACATGTTTTTGTCCTTACTCAAGATAAACACTGCTACTACCTAGAAGTAGAGGAAAAGTAGAGGAAGGTAGGGAAGGTAGCCAGTATTGCAGATGATGGGGACTGTTGGGGGTGGTGATGGACGGCCGTGCTGAATCTAGACGCCACGCCCACTGTTGAGCTCTAGAGTCCCTGGGAATGAATCCAGAGGAAGGCACTGAAGCTGGGAGAAGACTGAGTGGGCCGAGGAATGCCCACCCTGCTCCCCCTCCACTGCAGCAGAGCTGTCTTTGTGCTTTCAGCTTCTTTACAGTGCTGCCTTGTAGCATTCAGGTCAAGCAGCATTGTACAGGGCTATGAAAGAACTAAGAATGACCTTCCCTTGGGGATCCAGTTGGTGCAGCTTTATAGCTTATCCCTATTTATACACTTTTGTTTAAAATTATTCTTTTAAATAGATAATATAAGCATGTGATTTAAAAAGGAAGCCTCAAGAGGTACAAAAGGATTGTCTCATTTTTAGTTAAAAATACTGTATCAGTATGAAGAAATTAAAAATTCTTTATTTGAATATTTTAACACTTCTGTTTTCTTTGTTGCATGTTCCTTTAAGTCCTGTGCTTATGTATTTTAAGATATTTTAGTTGGTGTACATACCATTCTATGTTTTTTACTTAAATATTATAAATTGCATGGTTGTATATTTGATTTCTTTTTATGTCATAAGTCATTCACATAGAACTGGGCATTTGGTTGCTTGCCGATGATAGCTCTGCAGTAAAGCTTTTTTTTTTTTTTTGCGGTACGCGGGCCCCTCACTGTTGTGGCCTCTCCCGTTGCGGAGCACAGGTTCCAGACGCGGAAGGCTCAGCGGCCATGGCTTACGGGCCCAGCCGCTCCGCGGCATGTAGGATCTTCCCGCACCGGGGCACGAACCCGTGTCCCCAACCCATGTCCCCTGCGTTGGCAGGCGAACTCTCAACCACTGCGCCACCAGGGAAGCCCGCAGTAAAGCATTTTTAAGCATGGAGCTGTTCCTTGGATGGATTTATTCTTGATAAGAGACTTATTCAGGAGTGAGATTTCTCATCTAAAGAATATCATACTTATGAATTGTGATAGGTATTGCCAAGATGCTTTGCACAAGGGCTGCACCAATTTAGATCGTTTTTAGCAATGAATGAATGGATTGGTTTTACCACAACTTGACTAATATTGGGGGTAGAATTTCAGTTAGTTGTTTGTTTTGCTAACTTTTTTTTTTATGGTGCCAATTTAAAATACAGTTTTATTTAAGACATTGCATTTTCCACTTACAATACAGTGCTTATAAAGTGCAATGTTATTTCCTTTCCCCGTGTACACATTCACTGTTCAAGTATCAAGAATGCCCAGTTGTTTACTATAGCAGCTCAGCTTTAAAACTGCCTTGGAATTTGCTACACATTTGGGTCCTTCATTGTTTTTTGTGAAACAATGCTAAATCTATACTGGGTTGGCTTAATCAACCTCTTCACTGGTGGGTGCAGAGGAGGCACCACCAGATGGAGGAGCTCAGCCCCCAGGCATTCCTCCTGGTATGTGTGCCTCCTGCACTCTCTGGTACAGCTTGGTAATGATGGAGTTGCAGACTTTTTTCCAGCTCCTTCTGCTGATGTTCGAATTCTTCCTTCTCCGCAGGATGTAAGATCTTGGGTCACTCAGACATCCAAGGAAGGAAGCTGCCAACATCTGGAGTTCTTTGCTAACTTTTAATGGATCTAAAATTTTACTGTTTTTGCTCACTTAGTGAGGTTGAATTTTTTTGTCTGTGATATTTCTTGTATAATTTGCCTATTTGTGTTACGTTTCTTCTTTGAATTGGGTCTTAATATTTTTTACTTATCTGTATAAAACTTTTTATTTAATTGTAGTTATTGTTTGTCATATTTAATTCAAATGCTTTTCCTAATCTGTATTCTCCTGTGACATTTTCTGGCATACTTTGAAGTAGGTTTAGAGTTGTCTGGGGATCAAATTTAAGTAGCCCTGGATCAACTGGATTAAATGTAAATACTTTTTTTTGATCAGCAGTCAACTTGCTGCTAAAAACTATGTACATGGTACTCTCTTTGGGGTAGCTTTTATGAGAGAACAGAAATTAAGATGAAAACTAATTGCCTTTTTTTTTTTTTGATGTGCTCAGAACATTAACCAGGTGGTATTTGTTGGAAATTTCTTGAGAATTAATACGATCGCCATGCGGCTTTTGGCGTATGCTTTGGATTATTGGTCCAAGGGACAGTTGAAAGCACTTTTTTCGGAACATGAGGTAAGCAGACTTACTTCCTGTGACATGTTACCTTCATAAAGGGCATGCAGTTCATGCTGCGCTGGAATTTGAAGTAGTACTTATTTGTTTCTGTACTTGTGTAATATGGGTTAACTTTGGTCATGTTCAAAAGCTCTTTCTTACCTGATTTAATGTAAGGTAGATATTTGGTTAATTTAATTTTGAGCTTCAGTTTTAAAGAAGAAAGTCTTGATAAACAGCCAGCTATATTACGGATGCCATATTCTTTTCTGAATCGTCCTTTATATTTTCCCCATTGCAATTTGCACTTACTTTGTAAATGCACTTACTCTGAGTTCTTTTTTCATTTTTTGATGTCAGTATTTATGTATTGATGTAGTTCATGTGCCAGTTTACCAGTTATTTAAGATGTATGTTCTAAAAACAACTAGATCAGTAAAAAGCATTCCAGGATTAGAGCCACACTATCATAAGAACATAACACATAGACAGGCTATGTGGAAAAGAATAACTGAATTGCTCAACCTGATAATCCTATTTTGGAAAGTGCCTTTCTGTTTTTCAGTTTGAGGAACAGAACCAGAGCTATGGAAGGGACTTTCTCTTTCCTCCCCTTGGTTGTGGGGCAGTTGGACTCTTTAAAGTGTTAAAGTGGATTGTAGATAGTGTTATTATGAACATTTTTCAGAATTGTATTTGCATATTTACTTTAACAGTGTTTCTATGAATTGACAGAAATCAAAGTAGGATTTGAAGTAATATGAAGAAGCTGTTTTTTCTTTTAAGGTTGCTTTAAGTTTTTCCTTTTAAGCTGCTTAAGTTCATAGTTAAAACCCAAAGTGCATAATTCCCCATATCAAAAAGCTTAAAGTTTAAGTTATCTAACTTTCTTTTTACCTCTAATCTTATTATATTAGTAAATCAGTACTGAATTATCAGTTTCTTATAACTTTTATATGCATCTTGCTTTTTGTGATCTTTGACCTGTTTTATTTTGCTTAATATTAGAATAAAAATAAATCCTGTTTAATGTTGTATCTTAGTATAACTTGCCTCCTGCTGAGTTTCTACCTCTTTTGAACCTTTTTCAAGGCAGAATGTGGAGGTTTCTTAGGTTAACTTTTTTTTTTTAACTTACGTCTTCATATCATAATAATTACGACATGAACCCTTTATGAAGTTTTGTTTTTCCCATTTTGACTTCCTCTCTGGTTAGCCTGTTGCCTCTGTTTGTCTCTGTGTTTTCCATTTACATTCGTGCCTCTGGCTCTAATGTCGATCTCTGTACTTCTGGAACTCTGATTATTTTAGGTTCTCTGAGTCATGAAATATTCTCCTGTCTGCACACTGAAGTCAGTGTGTCTACTGTTGTGAAAGCTTTGAATAGATTCTTCTCAAGCCTTTCTCTTTCATTGTTTACTGTTCTCATCTTACACTTCTTGGCTTGTAACAACCTCTGTCTTTTACTAGATAGTAGGTTTCGGGTCTTCAGTGGAACTCACTATAATGGTTAACTTTATCCCTTCTTCTTTTGTTGTAAAATAAAACACAGATACAGAAAACCACTTTATATGTAAAGCTAACTGTTACAAAGTGAACACCCTTGGGACTTCCTTGGTGGTCCAGCGGTTAAAGCTCTGTGCTTCCACTGCAGGGGGTGTAGGTTCCATCCCTGGTCAGGGAACTAAGTTCCTGCGTGCTGCGGCCAAAAAAATTTAAAAAATAAAATAAAATAAATAAAGTGAACACCCTTGAATTCTATCCTCTGGCTGTAATTGTGGGTTTCTGAGTGTGGCTGAGTCTTGCTCAGTTGTGTCCCTCCTACAGTTTCTGACTTTCATAATACATTCATGTGGCTGCTTATTTATTTATTTTTTATTATTTTTAATATTTATTTACTTGGCTGCGTCAGGTCTTAGTTGCGGCAAACGGGATCTTCGTTGTGGCATGCGGTATCTTTCTTTTTGGCATGCGGGCTGTTTGTTGCAGTGCGCAGGCTTTTCTAGTTGAGGTGTGCGGGCGAGTGCATGGGCTCTGTAGTTGTGGCGCACGGGCTTAGTTGCCCTGCGGCATGTGGGATCTTAGTTCCCTGACCAGGGTTTGAACCTGTGTTCCCTGTATCGGAAGGCAGATGCTTAACCACTGGACCACTGGGGAAGTCCCCGTGGCTGCTTATTTTTAAAGCCAAAAAAAGAGTGAAAGGGCAGGCCTCTCTGTTGTGTGGCCACATGTTCTTTGGAGAAGCTTTTCTTGGAAAATAGACTAAACTTTAGTTATTTATATTTCAGAGACTTCTCATATGTTCTTTTTTTTAAAAAAAAATATTTATTTATGGCTGCGTTGGGTCTTCGTTACAGTGCGTGGGCTTCTTATTTTGGTGGCTTCTCTTGTTGCGGAGCACGGGCTCTAGAGTGCAGGCTCAGTAGTTGTGGCGCACAGGCTTAGTTGCTCCGTGGCATATGGGATCTTCCGGACTAGGGCTCGAACCCGTGTCCCCTGCATTGGCAGGCAGATTCTTAACCACTGTGCCACCAGGGAAGTCCCTCATATGTTCTTCTAATCCATAGTAGGTCTTCCAGGATCTTCCCATATTCCTTTTTCAGTCACTTCTTTCTTTCTTACAGTACTTTACTGTCTGATTGCATTCCTTTGGAGATCTTGATGGATTCTGTATCGTTGTACGATTATTCTCTGATTTCTGCTGATTTCTGCCAGTATGGGTTTTGCCTCATTTTCTTTTATATTTAATCCTTGTTTAGGTTTCTTGTTTGGGTTGTCATGTCTTGGTTGTATTTGGCCTTGAATACTTACTTCAGGAGATGGTCCTGTAATGTCTTCCTTCAGCTGCTGCTTCTCTGTCTCATACTTCTGCCTTCCCCTCAGTTGCTTCTGTTCTTCAGATGTTGCTCCTCTGTCCTCACCCTTCTCTACACGTTGCCTGAAGGTTCTGTTGTCCACTTCTCTGCTGCTCACCTCTGCCAGTACTGCCCTGACTGCTGCCCCGCTCCAAATCCAGACATCCGGTGACTTTCTGGGTGTGGCTGCTTGGCTGCCTGGGGCACCTCAGCTTTGCACATCCTGTATGGACCCCCCTTCCTTGCTCTCCACATCTCTTGCTCCTGTGTCCTTGTTCTCTCAGGGGTGGTGTGACCGGATGTGTGGGAGGGACATCAACATGTCTGCCACCCTCATCCGCTTCTTCAGGCGAGTCTTGAACCCATCCCACCCCCATCTTTCCACCCTCAGCCCAGCTAGCCCTCGCCCTCTATGACCTGTCCCCGCTTCTCCTTCATTGCACTTCATGTCTCATCTTCCCTTCATTCCAGAGTTGTCTGGAAATGCTCCAGGCCCCTGTTGCTTCTCACCGCCTCATTCTGCAGGAGACGGCCCAGGTACCGTCCTTTACCAGGGGTAACTGGGCTGCTCTGGGCCTCATAACTTGTGGAGCCCCAGTTGTGGGCTCTGGTCTGATGTGCCAGAGTGTTCTGCTCCCAGGCTGGCCTTGGGCTCAGCAAAATGGGAGTCAGGAAATGGGTGTCAGGAATTAAGGGCTGTGTTGGCTTTAATGCTAGTAATCATATTTATGGTAATTTAAATAAGTCAAAGGAGAATTGCTCTTATTTTTTTCTTTCTTTTTCTTTTTTTTTTTTTCAGGGTTATTTTGGAGCTGTTGGAGCACTCCTTGAGCTATTGAAGATCCCCTGATTGTTACCTGGGGAGGGGTTCCTGGAACCTTCCACAATGGGATTTGTGGACTTGTTTTTTTAAGAGACTTACTCAGTTTTATGATTGTGTACTACCTGAATCAAAGCGAGAAAGGACAAATGTATTTTTCTAAGTCATCAAGATAACTCTTAATAACCAGTAAGGAAAGATATATATTAAAAAAAAAAAAAGTGGACCATGTCCATGTCGGTGAGAATTCTCTGTATTTAAGTTGCTCTTCAGTATAGCTTTGTTCAACTTGCTGTGTATTTTTGAAATTCAGCATCACTTTGTGGAGCCACTTCAGGGGAGGAGAGCTGTTCTGTGTTCAACGGGCTGTGGTTTTGTGTCCTGTTGAACTAGCTAAATGTAAGGCAAGCTATTGATACTATGTATTATAATCTAATCACAATTTTATCAGTGTGGCCTTGGAGATCATCTTAATGTGCATTAACTCTGGTGTGCATTTAGCTTGTGTGAATGTATTGAAAAACATGTTTCAAGGTTCTACAGACTTATTGGGCAGGTTAATTCTGTGCCTTTAACAGTTAAGCAACTTTTGGAAGGGCAGTTCCAGCTTTACACTGTAGATCCTGGGAACATCTGTTTGGAGGGAAAGGACTTCTCCCCTGGGCAGAATTTCCTTGGGTAGTGGAGGGATAATTGATGTGATGGAAGTGAGTAAGCTAGTAGAAAAAGCACATCTGGAAGACTAAAAGCAGACAAAGAGGGCTGCCAGTATCGACAGCTTTTCAAGGAGTGGGGGGAATCTGGTTATTTCAGGCTGGTAGAGAGGGAGGAATTGAGGTGTCCATTGATTAGCTCATGGAGAGCAGGGTGGGGCTCTCCCGCCTTCTGCTCCCTGCCTTGTGCTTGCTGGAAACTGCCTGGGAGGCTGGCTCAGTTGGATCTAGTGGAGGGGCTGCGTGTGGGAGGCTCAAAAGGCTGCTTGAGGAGAGACAGGTTTCTAGATGGAGTCTTGGTAGAGGTTGGCTTCTTCCTCTGGACCGAGGAATGGAGCCAGCGTGAGCCTGTTCGCTGCCCATGGAGATCCAGGTTGACCTCTGAGGCCTTGTGGGGTTCCGCCTGCTCTCCCCGCAGTTACTGTGCTCACGAGGCTGTGCCATTGCTTTTTGTGGGTCGTGTCATGCAGCCCTTGTCATCTCCATAACTTAACAGAGGAGGAAACTGCCCAAAGTCACACAGCTAGAATCCGGCAGAGCCCCCTTTCCTCTTGTGCCTTGAAGTCGCCCTCCACCTCCATGGATTCACCACTTCCTGCTCTTGAGAAACTGCCTCTGTGACTTCTTTTTGTGCTTTGTGCTCAGCCCATCCTTCTTACTCCAGTGAATCTCATTGCTAAATCTAATGGACATTTCATGTTCTCATCTTCCTCAGTTCTAACACTGCAGACCCCTCTTGCTTTTCCTTCTATCTCCTAGGCCACTTTGTCTCTGCCAGTTTATTCTCCACTGAAGATAATTAGATATTGCTAGCCCTCAGGCTCAATCCTTGATCTCCTTAAGCAGTCATCAGCACTCACCTTGACTCTGATTTCTAAGGTAGCATATCTGGCCCAGCCCTTGCCTCTGAGCTCCAGTCCCAAGGCATTGACTGCCTTCTCGTCCCTCTTCCCCCTTCCCCTTTCCCGCTTCCCTTCTCTTCTGTATCTCCAAGGCCATCTTTACACAGAAATGTCTCCATCCTCCCCTGAAGCTCCGCCAGCATCCTCTCCCAGTTTCCTGCCACTTCACTACCTCCAGTTTGTGAGATGCATGTAAACTCAGTCTTGTCACCACAGCTACCACCCTGGTCTAAACCACTGCCCTGTTTCATCTCAGCAGTTATCCCTTCCAGTCAGCCCTCCAAATACTAGCCTGAGGGTCCCATCCCACACTCCCCTATTAGAGGCAGTGGGGGTGGTAGTGGCTGTGGTCATGGTCCAGGTGTGAAAGGAAGGTGGCCAAACCAAGATGGGAGCAGTGGATGGTCAGGTAGAGAGAGATGCTTTAGAGGGTTGAGTTTAGAGATGTGGCGATTGGAAGTGGGGGAAGAAGGTTCTGTGAGGGCACCTAGGCTTGCTGGGGAGACTTGGTTTTGGGCTGCCTGATTTTTGATGCCAAATAGGTATCTGGATATTTAGGTCAGAGACCTGAGAATGATGTGAATGTAGGTGGGAATTTAGTGAATCCCAAGGTAGAGTGAGAATAATAAGAGATGTGCAGAGAAGGAAGAGGCTGCGAAGAACACCGAAGAGTGGTCAGAGGGGACTAGTGCAGGGGGCCTGTTGCTCTGGAGACTTGAGGGGAGAGGAGCTCTCCAGGCACCTGCATTAAGAGGAGGTTTCAGAGGTGGCACAGATTTGGTTGCAGGGCCATGGATGGCCTTGAGGGGGAGCAGTTTCCCTGAAGCTATGGGGCCAAAGCTGAGCTGCAGAGTCCTAGTGAGGGTTGGTGAGTAGAAACAGTAGCTGCCACAGGATGGCTTTGGACCAGGAGATGTTTTTTTCTCCTCCCAACAGAATAGTTGGTATTTCCAGACCTGGGATATAGCTAGAGGGGTGAGGCGTGGGCCAGTTCCACCACTGCAACCTCTTGAGCACTGGTGTCCACATTTGGGAGACTGCTTGACTGTGTCCAGCCACACCTGTGGTGCTGAGGCCAGGGTGGCAGGGGGGGGCCTTGGCCTCTCTGCCTTCTCCTTTGCTGTGGCCTGGTGCTCCACTCATCACCCCTGACTGGCACCCCACACCATGGGGAGAGATAAGCCAGGCTCCTCTGTCACAATCACCTGTTGCTGTTGACCAATTCTGTTTGTTCAGAACCACTCTTCAGCTCTTGCTACATGGGCTTAAGTGGGATGTGGGTGACCAAGGGTGTGTACATGCTCAGCACAAAGTATTTTTAAAATCTGCTTTTTATTTACATTTAAGTCAGTTACATGCATGTCTTATTTTTTAAACAAGAGTAATTAGCAAAATGCATTAAAATTTTAAAATAGCAATTAAATATACAAAAATATATAGCTTACAAAAAACTGCGAATGTTTAAAAATATTCTGCGCATAATTCTTAGTGTACAAACATGTCTATGAAACCTGAGGTTCAGCATTTCATAAACCTTTTTTTGAGGGAGTTATATGATATCTAGTGAATAAACCCCAATGGGCTTAAAACTATAGGACTAATATCCACTCTTTCTGGCAAAGATCTGTCAAGAGACCCAGAGATGACAGTTCAGGAACACTCTCTTGGAAGACTGAGCTGTTACCAGGAAGGACTTCCTAACACTAGCCCCATCTGCCTCTCCTGCTCTAGCGGGGGTGCCTGGGAGGGAAGGGGTGGATGGAGGAATGGTGTGCACCTGGCCCGAGACACAGGTCTGCCAGGCTTGTACTGGCCTAGGGAGCTGAGAGGGGCTTCATGGAAGAATAGACAAGTCCTTTGACACTGGTGGGGCCCACAATGTGGGTACATGTCCCTGGAGCAGGGAGGCCCTGACACTATAGCCACAGAAGTGAGCACTGGGTCGGTAAGCCAAGTGTGCTGATGCTTGGTCTAAAAGTGGAATAAAACTGCATCTTGCAACAACAATTTAGGCTCTGAAGCTGAACTGGAATAATATTTACTGAAGAAGCCCCTCTGTTTTCCTCACGTTCCCAATCAAATGGAAGCACATTCCATGGCACGTGGAAGCCTTCGTTAATCTACTAAAGGAACATGACCCAGCATTTTCCAGTTAACAACTGCAAATTTCACCAGAATTTAGACACTTTCATCTCCTTTACTCAAATTCCTAAGTGCTAACGATGAAAAAGACAAGAGGTTCATCAAATGACAGAAGAGTGGAGTTTCACACACAATTCCTTTGCAAGTTTCAGGTCAGGGGCCCAAGTTGCACTTTTAATCTAGGGAATCCCTGGGCTGCTGTTCTGTGTGGCAGGATACCAGGGAGGTGGGTGAGGAAAGAGAGGCACAAGTCCATGTCCCTCCCCCCAAGGCTGCCTGGAGGAAGCAGCTTTAACCTGGATCTCCTGCAGGGGCAAGAATGAACTTAATTGTTTTTTAAAGGAAATGTTGGTGGGATAATTGCTGTTGTTGAAAAAATGTTGGGTGAGGAGAAATTCTATGGGAACGTTTTCTTTTTAGTGTGTTCATAAAGAGTGGGAAGGGAAAGGGAGTAGGTTCATGAACTTGAACGTTCGGCCGTATCTGCTGTTAATGCTGAGGCAGCTGACCACCTATTTGCTTAGCAACATCTGAGACATCTGCCCCACAAAACAGAAGTATGTCTCAGCCTTCAGTTACTGCAGCTTCTCAAACTCCTGCCTCAAAAACATGGGCTTGCCTAAGAAACCATGACAGTTGTAACCAGACGTCACTGCTGGGCTCTTGGTCCTCACTTGAAACTGGATTGGGGGGCTGAAGTGCGGCTGCAGCCTGTCCAGGCTCCTGCAAAAGCTGCTGGACTGTGCTGTTGCTTTTGGCTGTGGAGGCTGCTCTTGAGTGCCCTGCAACAGACTCAGAAAGATAGGCTGGAAACTGGTTGAGCTGTCTTGTTATTTGGGCATCAGTGGTTAGGGTCAGGGAGGGATTGTAGTTTGATTGGGATAGCAAACTAGAATTTCATCATGCTGCAATCAGTGGAAAATATGCCTTATTCAAAAGGAATGTGATTATAGAAATATCCCCCAATTCTGGGCTCACCTTTTACAGATATTCTGACTTCTGGGATGGTTCTTCCCACATTACTAGGAATGTTCCTTGAATATACTTGTCTGGTATTACACAAGTAAAAAAGAAAAAAAATTATACACATACACACAGTTGATTCTTGAACAATATAGGTTTGAACTGAGCAGGTCTACTTACACGTGGATTTTTTTCAATGAATACATTCTACATGATCCAAAAGTTGGTTGAATCCTTGGATGCTGAACCGCGGATATAGAGAGCTGACTGTAAAGTGATGCGCAGGCTGTACAGGGGGTCAGCGCCCCTAACCTGTGTTGTTCAAGGGTCAACTGTGTGTGTGTGTCTGTGTGTATATATATATACCCACACCCCATGCACATGTACATACATGTGTATGTACTTGTATATGCATAAATAATCTCTGGAAGAATCCACAAGGAACTAATAGTGGGTGCTCAAGGGGTGAGGAACTTGGCTTGCTTGGAGGTCAGGGATGCAAGGAAGACTTAACTGTTTATGATTTGTGAACCACTTGAAGGGATTACCTATTCAAAAAATTAAGGAATATTCAGCACTGAGCAACCATGTTGGGGAGCACCATGGGCAAAGGTAAACGGAAGTGACTAAGGAAGATCAAGAGGGGAAAGGGAAGGGAGCCAGGTGAACTGGGACCCAGGGGAGAGCCCCTACATCTCACGAGGCTCTCTGCTGAGGTTGTTTCTACAGAGGAGCCCCATGTGGCCAGCATGACAGCGTCACCTAGTAGCACCAGCCCCCATGACTCTAGGCCTGCCTGCTGGGCTCCAGACATGGTGGCCAATTCCCCACAAGAGCTGGTGGGGACACCCTTCCTACAATCCCTGGGTGGGTGCATAAGGAAACAGGTTTTGGGAGGCTAACTTGCAGGAAGGCATGTGGCTAGTGAGTGGCAAGGGGGTGATTCAAATCAAGCTGAGCACCTTTTCTCTACAGAGCTCTGGGGATGCCTCCCTGTGTGCATTTCATAATTCCCAGAAAACCTCTCAGAAAAAGTTACTACAGTCGTTCAGGGCAGCTTAGCAGAATGGGACCAGGCCATGAAGATGATAGGCTTTGGAGTGGGTAATGTGGAAAGGAACAGGGCGTGAGGTCATTCGTTTGATGGATTTGAGGGGCTAGGCACTGGGGAAAGGATCTTTGTCAAGACTTGTCGAGAACAGTGTGTTTGGCAATGGTGTGAGGTCCCCTGTATCCCTCAGCCCAGACTTCCCCATGGGCCACCTGCTCCCATCTGGCCATTACTGTCTTGTCCTGTTCCTTGGCTAGGGCCTTAACTACTAGGGATAGGCCTAACCAAATCACCGTGGCAAAGAAAAGCAGCAGATGACAACTAGCATGTTAGGCCTACTCAACCAGGAATCAAGTCAGGCTGGGTCTGTTCCCTGTTCCTAAAGCCAGCTGAATTCAGCTGTACCCCTAGTAAGAACTAGATAATGATTCACCCACCCATGGAGTCCAGTTGAGTCTTGAGTTTTGCTCCACTAACCCACAGCACGCAACACCCAATCTCTGAGTTGCTTAAGACACATTAAGATGAAGTTAAAAAATCACATTACCTGCCAGTGACCCAAAAGCAGACCAGAGTCCTCACATGTCTACAGATTAACAAAAGGTCAACAACTCATGGAGATAGATTTGGACAGGGCAGCCTCACTGTGAGGTGTGAGCTTGATCAAAGAGTATTAAGGGATCCTTGTTCTTTAAAAATAATTTTTTTTGAATGGAGATTTGACCTTGTCCTTCACATAAAACTGTGATTTTAATTAGAATTAAAGGAAGACATAAATTAAACCCTGGCCATTCTCAGTTACAGCAGTGCAGCACTGGGACGTTCTGGAGGAGGATCCAGATGTGGGGAGCAAACACATTCACGTTGTGTTGCTAAGAGTAATAACTACTGCAGGTGACACTGGCCATGCTGCAATAGAAGGACACCAAGCCAAGAAAGGGAAGATGACTATAAGCAGAGCGAACACTCTTAACCACTCCAGTGTCAAGCCCCACCTTAGAAGAGCTGGGTTTTTAAAAGCCCTGCACATTCACAAGTGTTGAGGTCATGGTGTAAAGCAGACCCATGATGGTGCCTAGTGGGGAGCGCACAACACTCTCAAGCTTTCCTCTAACAGATGGGCTTTGAATGTCTGGTCCAACTGGCCTTTAGCTGTGACACGGTGAGATGAATTAATTTGCCTCCCTACAAATAGAGGGACTTCGTGAGGCTGTCTCCTTGGTACTGATGCACTGAAAGGCTATAATCCTACAAAAGCTGTGTGATGAAATAATTTGCAGTATAGAACACAAGAATTCCTCCTTTGAAGGGAAAAGTTGTTTCCTATTGGAACCCCATAACTAAGAGGTGACATTTGTCCCAAAGCCATTATGTGAAAATGGTGAGTGTTGGCTATTAATGAGGCTAGTCCAAAGTAAGCCTACTTCTGACATTGGTCACTGAAAACATTTCACTATAAACTGGGTGCTTTGCAGCATTCAACTCTATTGTGCTACAAAATAGAGAATGCAGAAACAGAGGGTGAAAGTAGGAGTGTACAAATAGTTCTTTTCATGGGTGCCAGACAGACTAAGGCTTTCATATAAAAATATTCCACACTTCCCTTGCCCTGTTTAAAGAAGCAGTCCAGTTAGCATACCATGAATAGGTCACACATAGGGTACAGCCAATTCTGACCAACTGGATTTGTAATTTCCCAAACTGGATTCTGCCCAGCACTTTTCTAGGCTAATGGGAATTTTCCTCCTCATCTGATCCCAGCCACCTGAGCCAAGGACAGGTTCCCTCGCCCATTCTAAGACGGTAGAGGCTGGATTCCAAGAAAATTCCTGGAGATATGCCATGAACAGAGTAGCAAAGTTTCCTCCACTCTCTGTATCATGCAGGCTGCATTTCCAATGAGAAACTGCCCCCACTCATACTTGGGGGATGGAGCAGAGAGGCAAAGCTGTTGATGAGGAGTCCCACCCCTGTGATGGAAGGAGGTGGAGAGCAGGGCTGTGGAAGAGAGCGTTCTATCTGACCCAATGCTGTTTCACATAGCTAACTTATAAAATAGTCATGAATCCTGCTAGACTCTGAGTCATTTCTAGAAAAGTTGGACAGAAAGAGCGAAAGAGCAGCATGTGTTTCTCCCCTATAAAGACACTTTCAGTTAGTTATCCAAGTCCAAATACTGAAGCACACACCAATGGTGAATAGCCTTGCAGGAGCTTCCTGAAACTATTCACAATTTCTAGCATTTCCCTGGCTTCAGAATTACATAGGGATCTTATTTGGGATACTTTAAATTGTTAAGTCAACGATGGGCATTTTCTTTTGAGTAGAAAGAGAGGGCAAGAGAGGGAAGAGAACAGAAAGAAGGATGGGGAGAAGCAAGGGGGTTAGCATCCTCCTCTCAGCTCAGCAGGGCCAGGGGGACTGGCCGTTATCAGTAAGATGCTCCTCCTTGGAGCCATGTGAGGGGCTTACAGCAGCTTCCTACTGAGGCAGTGGGCCAAGACCAGCAGGTACGCTGGAACCACACTGCATATGTGGGAATGTGGGCAGCACCCTGAGGCCCCCAGGTCATACAGGGACAGCATGGGCTCAGAGGCCCACCCCCTGCTGGGGCTCCTGATGGCAGCTTGGCTGTGCCTCACTGGTGAGTAGGAGGGGAAATAAGAGGAAATGGCTTTTGACCAGACCTTTCCAAGCACATCTAATGTTTCTAGCTTAGATGATTTGATAAGCAAGTGTTGTGAACTTGAGGCAGGACCTGTGGTGATGGGTACTGCTGCTTTTTTGTAACCAAAGCCCTTGGGTTCTAAGATGGCCTTATCAAAGGGACATAACGTGAAAAGCCTTGTTGGCACTGCCTCCGGCACGGCAGCCGGTTGTGCTTGGGCTGAGGTAACCACTGTTTTTACTTGGCTGGGGCTGCTAGGAGGGTTTGCTGCTGCAAAGGCATGCACGGTCTGCATAGAAGCTCATGTGTCCACAGGGTCGGGGTGGGGGTGCCCTCAGTTCCCTTCTCTAACACTTGTGTTTATCGTCCCTTATGCTTGGTAAAGATTCACCTTGACATGGAGATAAGTGTCTGGGAGACAGAGTGCAATGGAGTTAGCAAGAGACCCTCATGAGGTTTCTTGAACCAAACCCGCAGGCTCATCTACTCCTCTTCTCTTGGCATGGGGTAGTGTCAGAGTACTTTGGTTGTCACAAGACCCAGGAGTCTCGGTTCCCAGCCTAGTTGGCCCAAGAGTTCTTCATTAGACAAAGGAAGCAGCAGCTGGTGCCCCAGGTAGAGCAGCCAACACAGAGACTGCTTGTGTTCCTCCTGGCTCCACGCAGACATTGGCTTCTGCAACAGTTTGATCCTTGTGATGAGCTATACAATGTTCTCTGCCCCAGGGAGGGGCCCCTGTGGGGGTCCACGGTCCTGCTTACTATGCAACTGGGCCAGCTGCAGAACCGGCATGTTGCACAGTGGACATACTTTGCGAACCTCCAGCCACTTAATAAGGCACCTGCAGAACGAGACAGCACAAGAAGGAAGAGGTCAGTCCCATGCTCGTGGCACCCCCTGCCCACATGCCTCACATGTTGAACATATCTGTTGCTCAGAGGTGGGGACTGGAGTGAACAGCCAGGTCCCGAAGTGTTCTTCCACTGGGTGGAGAATGCATTTCACCCTCTGGAGGAACCAGAGACTCCAGCTTTCCAAGAAGCTACAGTCAGTATGCTATACCCTCAGTCATCCATGACTTCTTAAAGAATGAAGTACATTGAGGAGGGTGGTGGGAAGGAGGAGAAATGAAGTTTTCTAATAGAAATACAAAACACATAAAATTGCAAGAGAAGGGGGAGTATTAAATATGTCTGTAGGAGGGGGGGAGGAGATGGTACTACACTTTTTTTTATATTTTGTTTTTTTTGTTTTAAAATAACTTTTTTTTTTTTTTTTTTTTGCAGTATGCGGGCCTCTCACTGTTGTGGCCTCTCCCGTTGCGGAGCACAGGATCCGGACGCGCAGGCTCAGCGGCCATGGCTCACGGACCCAGCCGCTCCGCAGCATGTGGGATCTTCCCGGACCGGGGCATGAACCCGTGTCCCCCGCACCGGCAGGCGGACTCTCAACTGCTGCGCCAACAGGGAAGCCCATAACTATGGTTTTGATTAAAATAAGTTTTTAGGAAAGGAAACTCTCATTGGAAAGTTCCAGGAAAACAGCTCTTTATAGCCTGGGCTCCAAGGAGGTGTGGGCTTGTCTGGCGCTCTGCCTGAAGTCCTGCCTTGGTATTCACGTTCCACCACCCTGATCCCTCCTAATGTCACACACACACACAAAACAGCCTGTAGGGCACTTTCAGCTTTCTGCATTATAAACCAGTCATGAAGCCATCAAGCTTGTCTGGCACTGCTCCAAGCCTACAAGTGAGTTGGTCAATGTGCCTCAAACTCAGGTCCTCTTAAATAATTCCACATCAATACTTACTTTCTGTGGAAGGCATGCTTACATGGACAAATCCCCAACTCGTCTCGAGGCTTGAAGTCTTCTAGGCACACTGCACAGAGCTGAAAGACAGATTCATAGATGAGGCAGTGTCTGCTAAGGACTCTCCCAGGCCAATGTAAAGTGCAGGCCCCCAAGGCCCAGCCATTTGAAGGGACTTCCAATGTCCCACAACTCTTTAAGTGAAAGAAACAGGCTCGAATCGGCAAGGTCTTCTGAAGAAGAATCTCCTGCTCTTCCTGTCACGTGTCTTCAAGATGGAGGGCAGATGGGAGAAGACAGAAAGCAAGAGGCAGGTTTCTTTACTTCAGTCCATCAGAAGAGTCTGACTTAGGTTTATTCTCACCAGATAGACTGAGCATAATGTAATTTTCTGTGCTGTGCCAAGAGGCTGACTTTCTGCAGGGAATGCTCTGCCTGCTCAGCAGCAGGGCCCCTGAAGGGACTGCTCGCACCCTGGGGCAGGCCCTGGGGCTCTCCTTTCTCCAGTTTTCATAACTTGGAAGCTATAAACCATGGCACAGCCTGCAGTAGTATGCTTCTTGTAGTTCCTGGGGCCCCTTACTTTGGCACTGTCCTTCTGTCAGTGTCTGTCTTTGTCTTATAAAAAGTTATTCAAGAGTCACTGAATTTAACCTTATGAAAATGTGCAGATGGGGCAGGATTGCTCTGACAGGTGGCTAGGCTCCACTGCTTGGAAGGAAGCCTTCTTCAAAGCCAGATGCTGGGTTCCAGCCACTACTTCTTGGGCACTTACCAGTGCCCAGGGACACCAGGTATCATCCCATTTACTCACTTTACAAATGGGGAAACAGAAACTCAGAGCAGTAACCATGTTGTCTGAGGTGAGTGGCCAGGTCTGGCTGGGGACCCAGGTCTGTTACACTTTTGTCTGCCCAAAGCTTGAACTCCTCCCTGCTTGCTTCCCTGTTCATCTCCAGGGATCCTGGTTCAACCATCACCATTTCTTGTCCAGACTGCTGACCTGCCTCCCTGTCACCTGTTTCTTAACCTATAACAAGTAACCCAGTATTCTTAGGTTATGTGACAGGACACATGGCTCTTGGTGTCTCGTGGCCAGTGCTGTGGCTGTTGGTCTTCCAACACCCTTCTCCAGGGAGCTCTCAGGGCCTTGTGTATATAGCAGACAAGATCTTCACAGGAGGAGGAGCATGGATAACTTGTCTTATCAGATTTGGCATTACTGCTGAGACAGCAGGAGAGCAGGGAGGAAGGCAGGACAGACGGCTGGCCTTGGCTCGGACACCCAAGCTGTGTGACTTCTGCCATCATGATGCCTCTCAAGCTCTGTTGCTTCATCTGTAGAGTGAAGATATTACATACCCCCAGCCCCCTGCCTGGGACTGTCATCAGCTCAGGTTGGGGGCAGGCCTGAGGAGGCAGTAAGGCAGTCTACCAATACCAGTTATTTTTATTCACCTTTAAATTTAGTGATGGGAGTACTATTTTCAAGCCCAGTTTTGTTTTCTGGAGGAAGGTTAAGAACAAGCTGTGGGTAAAGATGAGAAACTAGTGGTTCCAGCTTTGGGATGATCTTTTTTGGGCTTCTGCTTCCCATCTGTAAAGGGGGAATGATGTTCCCACCTCCTACACTGTGTGAAAAGGTCCTCTGGCCTTAACCCAGCTTCCCTCCCAGCATAGCCTTCTGAAAGAGGGTGAGGACTGCTGGCTCTGCCCTGTAGATATTCAGTGCTGATCCTACCAAAGGGCAAGATGTTGCTTTGGTTATTTTTCCAGAATCCAAAATTAGATTTGTAGCCTTTTCAAATGGAGTTACTATTAATGGCTATTACGTTCTTCTTAAAAAATTCTAAAACCATAGTCACCTGAAAAAAAAAACAAAATAAATTCTGATGTGTTAAGCACTAAAGTTGACCAAAAGCCAAGGTCAGTCATGAAGAGAAAAGCCTTAGATCTGACTTCTTAGAAGTTCCCTCAAGGGTCAAACTAATTTTACAAATTTACAGATCATATTTTGCAAATAAGCTTTACTTTCCAGTGTTTCAACAAGATTGTTTCTCTCACTCCTTTTTAAAAATGGAGATATATAATTCACACATCATAATATTCACCCCTGTAGAGTGTACAATTCAGCAGTTTTTCATATATTCACAGAGTTGTGCAACCATCACACTATCTAATTCCAGAACATTTTTATCATCTGCTTCCAAAAGCCCATGTCCATAAGCATCACCCCCCATTCCACCTTCTCCCCTGGCAGCCACTAATCAACTTCCTTTCTGGATGGATTTGTTTATTCTGGTCATTTCAAAATGGAATGGAATCATGTAATGGTATCATACAACATGTGGTCTTCTGTGCCTGTCTCCTTTCACTTAGAAAGATACCTTCAAAGTTCATTCATGCTGTAGCATGAATCAATACTTCATTCATTTTTGTGGCAAAATAGTATTCCGTTATATGAATATACCACATTTATCCATTCATCTGTTGATGGCCACTTGGGTTGTTTATATATAGCTTTTGGCTATTCTGAATAATCTTGCTCTAAACATTGGTGCACAAGTATCTGTTAAGAGTTTTCATTTCTCTTGGGTATATATCTAGGAGTAGAATTGCTGGGTCATATGGTAGCTCTATGTTTAACTTTTTGAGGAACTACTAAACTGTTTTCCAAAGTGGCCAAACCATTTCACATTCTCACCAGCAGTGTATGAGGGCTCCAATTTCTCCATATCTTCAGGTTATTATTATTGTCTGTCTCTTTGATTATATCCATCCTAGATGGTATGAAGTGACATCTCATTGGGGGTTTGATTTGCATTTCCCTAATGACTAACAATGTGCTTACTGGCCATTTGTATACCTTCTTTGGAGAAAAGTCTTTTCAAATTCTTTGCCCGTTTTTTAGTTGGGTAATTTTTCTTTTTATTATTGAGTTGTGAGACTTCTTTATATATACTAGACACAAATCCCTTATCAGATAGCCAACTGATTTTGACAAAGGTGCAAAAGCATTTCAATGGCAGAAGGACAGCCTTTGCAACAAATGGTGTTGGAGCAATGGGACATCCATAGGCACCAAGCAACCAAAAAAAATTGATAAACTGGATTTCATCAAATTTAAAAACTTTTGCTCTGCAAAAGATCCTGTTAGGATGAAAAGACTGGGACAAAGTATTTGCAGATCTTTTTATTTTGTAGGCTTTTTATTATTGAGTTGTAAGAGTTCTTTATGTATTCTGGATACCAAACTCTTATCAGATATAAGATTTGCAAATATTTTCTCCCTGTGGTTTGTCTCTTTACTTTCTTCTTTTTTTTTCAATGTCTTTTTTTTTTTTCTTTCTTTTTGCTGTACGCGGGCCTCTCACTGTTGTGGCCTCTCCCATTGCAGAGCACAGGCTCCAGACGCGCAAGCTCAGTGGCCATGGCTCATGGGCCTAGCCGCTCCGCGGCATGTGGGATCTTCCCAGACCAGGGCACGAACCCGCGTCCCCTGCATCGGCAGGTGGACTCTCAACCACTGCGCCACCAGGGAAGCCCTTTGATTCATTTTTGAGTTCCTTTGTGTATGGTGTGAAGCAGGGCTCCAATTTCATTCTTTAAGTGGTTATCTAGTTCTCCCAGAACCATTTGTTGAATAGACTACTCTTTTCCTATTGGATGTCTTGGCACCCTTGTTGAAAATCAACTGACCATAAATGTATGGGTTTATTTCTGAACTCTCATTTCTATTCCATTGATCTGTATGTCTGTCCATCTGCCAGTATCACAGTGTCTTAAATACTGTAGCTTGGCAGTAAGTTCTGATATTGGGAGGTGTGAATCCTCCAATCCTCTCCTTTTTTTAAGACTGTGTTTGGCCATTCAGGGCCTCCTGCATTTCCATGTGAATTTTAAATTCTGTTTGTTAATTTCTACAAAAAAAAGAAAGGGCAGCTGTGATTTTGACAGGAGTTGTGTTGATTTTGTAAATATTTGGGGGGAATACTGCTATATTAACAATAGTAAGTCTTCCAAACCATGAACAAAGGATGTCTTTCCATTCATTTAGGTCTTCTATAATATCTTTCAATGATGTTTTACAATTTTTCAGTGTACAAGTCTGAGCTTCTTTTGTTAAATTTATGCCTAGGAATCTTGTTCTTTTTGATGCTATTGTAATTGGAATTGCTTTCTTAATTTCATTTTCAGATTGTTCATTGCCACTGCATAGAAATACAGCTGATTTTATTTATTTATTTAATTTACTTTATTTTATTTTTGGCTGCATTGGGTCTCAGTTGCGGCACATGGGATGTTCGTTGAGCTATGTGGGATCTTTCTTTGCAGCGTGTGGGCTTCTCTCTAGCTGTGGCCTGTGGGTTTTCTCTTCTCTAGTTGTGACATGCAGGCTCCAGGGCTCGTGGGCTCTGTAGTTTGCCGTGTGCAGGCTCTCTAGTTGAGGCGTGTGAGCTCAGTTGTTGTGGTGCATGGGCTTAGTTACCCCGTGGCATGTGGGATCTTAGTTCCCTGACCAGGGATTGAACCCGCGTCCCCTGCATTGGAAGGCAGATTCTTTACCACTGGACCACCAGGGAAGTCCCTACAGCTGATTTTTGTATATTGATCTTTATCCTGGAAATTTACTGAACTCATTTATCTTGTGATTTTTGGTGGATTCTTTAGGGGTTTCTGTGTTTACAAAATCATATCTGCAAATATAGCTTTACTTCTTTCTTTCCAATCTGGATGCCTTTGATTACTTTCTCTTGCCTAACTGCTCTGCCTAGACTCCTCCAGTACAATGTTGAATAAAAGTGATAAGAGTAGGCATCCTTGTCTTGTTTCCCCTTAAGAGGAAAAGCTTTCAGTCTTTCATTAAGTATGATGTTAGTAGTGGGGTCTTTTTGTTTGTTTTTTTAAATTTTATTTATTTATTTATTTATTGGCTGCTTTGGGTCTTCGTTGCTGCGCGTGGGCTTTCTCCAGTTGCAGTGAGCGGGGGCTACTCTTCATTGCGGTGTGCAGGCTTCTCACTGTGGTGGCTTTTCTTGTTGCGGAGCACAGGCTCTAGGCATGCAGACCTCAGTAGTTG